CCATTCCACTACCCACCCTTCATTTGAAATTTAATATGGCTGAATGGAGGAGTAGTCATATTGGAGTTATTCAGAGAAAATCAACTAAAAACTCAGGTAATGGAAGAAAGGGAAGGACATATATCCTGATGCCAAAATCAATCTGAACTAAGAGACTTGTGGATCAAACAAAACATAGGCATAGGACTTCACAAAACGGTGAAGCAGCTCATAAAGCTGCCTGCAGGACCTCTGCCTGCATGTGGAGCAGAAATCGACTTTCTGAGAAGTTCACAAAAACTGATGAACTGCAATAGCCTGGCAAACTCAAGCCATACAGGCTAGATTTGGAATATAAGGGTCCTTGCCTTTTTTCCTTCCTCTTTTGTCTTCCTCTCTTGCCTGGCACCAATTTTCAGTAGCACACACAGGAGCAAATAACCAAGAAGCTGCTCCTTTCCTGATGGGCTCCCACTTTTTTTTCTTTTTTAAATGTGTGTGCCATAGGAGCTAACTGGAACCTCTAGTAACAACAAAGTTAAGGACTATGGTGGTGGTAGTGAAGGTAGTGTGTGGAACAGCACCATCCCTCCTGCCCTGTTCTCAGCAGTGTGAGGGAAGAGAGAGAAGTAGAACCTGAGCAGTCTTGGACTGTCTCCACAGCAGTGGCTGGGACACTGAGTCAGCCAACAGCACTCCTCCAGCCCTGCTCCCAGTGGCATGAGAATGGAGTAAGGAGAGAGACGGGCCAGTGGAGTGGAACAAACAAGATAATGCAGGGCCAGGAGGGACCAAGTATACATGGCACTGGGCCAGCCTTGGGCTGTCTGAGAGTGCCACAGCAACTGGGAGAGCAATGCAGAGCAAAACGGGGTAAGAAGACATGGGCAGACCACTGAAGGGCATCTGCAAAGTTGCTGGTTGAAGACTGTGGCCTCAGCCTCCACATTTGGAGGCCAAGATCAACCCAGTACCTAGCACTAATCCTACTGTAGACTTGGTGGGGGGTTACCCAGCAGGTTTGTGCTCTGACTTGGACATTACCACAGAACTATGGACCCAGAGGGATTTAATAGTTTTTTGTTTGATTGTTTGTTTTGTTTTCCTTTTTCTGAATTTTTTTCATTGTTTAGGTTTCTTTGTTTAGCTTTTATTGGTTTCTTTGTTTACTTTTTTCTCTCTTTCCTCAACTATTTTCCTTGATGTTTTGGTATTTTCATGTGAGTGAACACTGTATCTAGTCTTTCCAGTTCACTTTGATATTCTTTTGCTTTCTCCTTCATACTTTCTCTTCTGTCCTCCAGTTTCCCAAAGCTTGGGTGATCATGCTTTGTCCTTCAGCTTTACTTCTAGTATATCTCTATTTATCTCTCTATTTTTCTATCTTAATTGCCCCCTCCTCCACCCAAACAGGGCAAATTCACTCTATTAAGGAGAAACTTGCCACATACAAGTCCCTGGTTTATGTTGGATTTTTTTTTCAGGTAACTGTAGACCTTGCTCCTATGGTTAAAGGTACCAAGTTAATAACTGTAAATACTACAGTTTGTCAGTTTCCAGGCTGTGCTTGATGGTATTGTTATTGTTAATTGTACTACTTTAGCCAAGGTGTCATACTTGTTGTAATCAGTTGTTCGTCCTTGTATGACAACACTGATTGTCTGGGGTCATAATCATCACCATAGTCCAGTACCAAAGGACTGGATGTTGGACCAAGTAGCAACTTCTCATCCCTAGTAAATTAAGAAGGTAGGATTTGGGGACAGACATAAAGAACAAGAGGCAGGTACACCTTAGAGACATCTCTGAGGAACAGACATTTCCTAGGGAAGCCTTGATAGTAGTGATAAATCTACCTACCATAAGCAATTCACAAATATCAACATAGAAAACAAATTAAAATAAAAATAGAAAATGAGAAGACACAGAAGCAAAATGCAACTCCAGACCTCCAGCCCACCCAGGACAAGTATAGGTGACAATGAAGTCACCTATAGAAGTCACCCACCTGAATTTTCTGAAATGGTAGCAGCAGAAGTAAACAAGTAGACAAATGAAGCTATAGAGAAAATCAGATTAGAAGTAATCTGTCAGGTAAAAAAAGATGACAATCATAATGAAGGATTGCTTAGTGATTCTAGAATAGACACAGATAAAAAAGTAGAGCTTAGGAAATGGATGGAAACCATGAATGCCCAACATAGAAAAGAAATAGAATTCATGAAACAGATTCATACAGATATCCAAGAGATTAAAAATTCCATTGAAAGTATATGCAGACAAATGAACCAAGGTGAGGACAGAATATCAGATCTAGGAGATAGTATTGTGGTTAGTGATCATGAAAAAAAAAGATTTCTTAAAAGTAGCAAGGGACAATGAAAAATGAATCCAACAGCTGCAAGATGATGCAAAGAAGAACAACATAAGATTGATTGGTGTCAGTGAAAAAGCAGGAGACAACACAAATGACATAAAATGTCATTTGTATTGTTTTCTAATTTTTTTTCTAATTCCAATTAATCTTAGATTAGTCTTCTTTGAGTCACTTAACAGATGTTGGGCCCATCTTTCATGTTCTCTTGTTGGTTCCAAGGTATCTTTGAGTAATTGGTCACTGACATCAGCCCTGTCTTCTAGTTCCGACAGTCTGTTCTCACATTAGTCACCTCTGCTGCCTATTCTTTAAAAGGAATTTTTAATCTTTTGGATTTGTGTTTGATACCTTTTCTTGGATTCAAATTCTTTGTTAAACTGGTCATTCACATTTTGCCGCATTTCATTTAGTCAGCTAGCCATTTATTAGTGTCTTCTGTAAATTTGGTGACTATTTTGTTTATTAAGTCTATTATATATTTAGCTATTTCCCCTTTGAGCTCACAGTTTCCATGCTCCTGGAGTGCCTGGTTAGAGTTTAGAGCAGAATCTACATGACAACAGTCAGCAGAATTAAGAGCAAGTTACGGTCAGAGATGACTGCTTTGGCCTCTGTGTGCCCCTATCCTGATAAGATTGCCTAAACTGAGTCAACATGTGTCACGTAACAAACTGCCCCATTCTGGCCCCATCCCCTGGCAAAAACTCCTATACAATACATTATAAAATGCTTTTCTTCTATGTCTTTGTTCTCATGTCCTTGAGTTACAATTAAATAACCACAGAAGTCTCAGCTGTTTACTATTTCCCTGAGGCTCTCTTATACCCAAAGAACTCTGAGTTCTGTGACTGAATTAAATCTCCTCTCTGAGTAATGTTTCTAATGCTCTGCATAGTCCACACTGTGACAAAGATCTGACAGACACGGATTCCTTTAAGCTCTGAAACATTTCTAGGGGTTTGCACTCTCTGAGTCTGTTTTCTTTTTTGTAAAGCAGTCATTCTGGATACCATCATGTGGGCCTCTCTATCCCTCAATTGCAATCACCAGTGTTCTGATCAGGGTGTTGAGGAGAGGAGAGTGGGAAGCCATGGGCACTGTGACACAGGGGAGAAAATGTCACAAAGTAAGCACACTTTATGGAGCATGCCTGGGCCTCAGTAAACATGTTTGGTATAAAGTAGGTTGTAGTCAGTAGCATGCTCTGTGTGGAGTATGCAGCACATGGTAGAAATACTTCACCTATAATCTTTACACAAAGGAGAGTACTGGATCATAGCAGCTGTGGTAGGAACTTCAAGTCCCTTTTCTTCATTCCCTTTTTGAGGCTCCCTTCTTTATGGAGCCCTCCTGTATCCCTCTATGAGGGCCTCATCTGATGTTCCACTTTTTGGATAACAAAACTGAGCCCCAGAGGGCTGGTCTGCAGCAAATCAGAGCAAAGATAGAGAAGATCTAGAATTCCACTCAGGGACCCCTGACTTTTCTCTCTCCTTTCTAGAACCTGTCACCAAGGAACTTCTCATCTTTCCCCTCCTGTGTTTCCTTCTCCTTTTCTCTCTCCTCCTACAGCCAAAAGAGCACAGCCTCCAGATATGCTCTTTTAGCAGGGCTCTTTATCGCCCAAATCTGCTCTGGGGAATCCCCTGTAGGAACGGATTTTTTTTCTCTTGTTCCTAAATGTCATGTATCAACCGAAGCTCTGTGTTTGTTGGATGCAGGGCTTGAATTCTTGCCAGACTCTGCAGCTGGTGGGCCATTGGCTTCCATTCCTGAGCCTTTGAATTCTGCACTGAGAAATAGTGTGTGCAGCACTTCCAGCCCACATATGAACAGGACTCGGAGAGATGCTCTGGGACAAGGCTTAGGTTGGCCCTGCTCTAGCTAATGAATTCTCCATTTCATGCTGTTATCCCCTGTATCCTGGCCTCAGAAGAGCAGGGGCAGCTGTACAATTGGGGGCTCCCAGTCACCTTTACCTTCACCAAACTTGCTCCCAGTCTATGTGGAAGATGCCAAGTTCTGAGCACCCATTGTCCATGCTGTGATCCTGAGGTGGTTCCTCTCTGTAACTGGATAGGCCCACCCGCAAGACTTGATCACTTGTCTAGGCAGGAAAGAGGCAGATGGGCCTGTGGGGATGGGTTGGTCAAGTGCATCCTGGCTTCCTGTAGCTTCCTCCAGGGCACGAGATAGGGAAAAAGAAGTCCTAGAGAAGGAGAGAGAAAGTTGAGGGAAAAGCTGCTCCTGATAGAAGGTAACAGGCTGGGTGTGTTGGGGCTGGAATGCCCCGTCTGGGGAAGGGCAGAGTCATGACCAAGGACAGGGAGCTCCAGGAATTGTATGGTCCAGGAGACTAGTAGTTGTAGGTAAAAGTGCCTAACCACTTCTGTGATTCAGAGACATCAGGAGCCTGATCATTCTCTTCCTTTTTCTCCTCCTCTGCTTCCACATCTTTCTCTTCATGCTTCTCTTCCTCCTCTTTCTTTTCCTTGCTTCTTCCCCTGAAGTGCCCTCATTCTCCTTTCCCCTGCTTGCCCTTTTAACAACTCTCACAGACTCTGCCTCTCTGCAATGTCGCTGAAGGTCCCTGTCCCCTTCCTGGGCTACGGAAATTCCTAATTTATCCTTTCTGTCTTGCAGGATGACACGGCTGAACCCGTTCTGGCAGTTCTGGCTGGGACTGAGCCCAGAGGAAACCTTTGCTTGGCTGCTCCTGATATTAATTTGGGCCACCAGGCTCCTGAGCAAAATTCTGAAATGGACCTACTCCTTCTATGAATACTATTGTCACCTCCGCAGTTTCCCTCAGCCCCTCAAAAGGAACTGGTTCTTTGGTCACTGGGGCATGGTGAGTGTGGCAATGGTATGGGCCACCAGAGTGGATGGGTTCCTGAGGGGTCAGGAATAGAATCAGAAAGCTATGTGCTGATCAGAGGGCTGGGGTCTAGGACACAGAGAAGCAGCGGAGGTAGCCTGTTTAGTCGTGTGTGACGCCCTCATCCCATGCTTGTCATCCAAAGCCTCTTTCACATTTTTGTCCTCCTATTTCTTGGATTTATTTAAGGCCTGGCTTCCTTACCTTGGTGTGCCTGTGAGTAGTTCCCATGTTGAGTTAAATAGAGTGAGGATCCCTTGTTTCCCCACACTCTCCACCACTTGAATTGATGTGTCTTGGGGAGCACGGTCCAGGGCTACTTCCTGACTGGACTGTATTTTTATGTCAGCTCATCTCTGGGTTTCAGGTTCTTCAAGAGCATGAAATTTGATCTTTCCACACAGCACAGGGACAGAGCTGGGCTCCAGAAGATAGGTACAAGCTGGCTCCCCTGCTTCCATTCCTGGGATAGCTTTCTCTTATCTTGTTCTTCTCCCCAAGATGCCTCAGTGAGCCTTCTTGCCCAGTCTGGAGAAAAGCTAAGCTGCTCAAGTCCTTCAGAAGCCTTCATTGACTGCATCCTTAAAGGCACATTTTGACCTTTGACTTAGACCTGCTTACCCTTTTAAGTGACATGATTTTGGTTGCTTCACTTATATAGGGACAGTTGATGAGCCTGTATATAAGTTCAGTGAGATCTTGAACCTTGGATGCTTTGTTTCAGAGTCTGGTGAGCAGCAGATGTTCATGGGTGGGAGAATTGGAGGTCTCCTGTTCTCCTGGGGTTTGGAAAGTCCATGGTATGAGGAAGCTTCTCTCTGGGAGGAACTGGCTGTGGTGTGGACTGGTCAGGACATGAAAGGATGTGGGCCAAGCCTGAGGACAGTCTGAAGGCCACACTGCTGCCCATAACCTCTCTCCTGATTTTAACCTCCCCTGTGTCTGCACATTGGGCTAGAGCTGCTTGTGGTAGGAGAAAATTCTTCTCAATTCAAGATGGATTTCACTGTGAGCAGACATTTTTCTTCTCTATGTACCCTGGGATGTACCACTGGAAGTTGGATATGGCCTTGAGGTGAAAGGAACAAAAGGAAGCAGAGATTCTTCCCATTCTTAGAAAATCAGAAAGTATGTTCATCATAGATGCCATGTCATCTCCATGGGCTGAAGAAGGGAATTGCTATGGCTCCTGGGATTGGTTATCAGCCAGGATTCTCCAGAGAAACAGAACCAAAGAACATGCACATTGTTATGCATCACTTAATTATTTTGACACCATTTGAGAATTTGTGGTGGAGTGATTTTTCTCCCTGTGCCAACATCATAGAACATGTCTTACACATATCTAAATGATCTAGACTATTACACACCCAGGCTAACCTATTGTTCCTTGTATACAAAGCTGTACAGCACGATACTGTTCTGAATATTATAAGCAATGTACCACAATGATATTTGTGTATCTAAAAGTATCTAAACTTAGGACTTGTACACCAAAATAGTAGATAGCAAGGAATTTCTCAGCTCCATTGTAATCATATGAGACCACATTCATATGGACAGAAACATCATTAAGTAGCACATGACTGGGTATAAAGTCAAATACACACACATGCACATACATATCATATAGACAGATACACACATACTTACAAACCTGAGAGAAAGAGAGAGACAGAGACAGACAGAAAGGGAAGAAAGACAGAGAGCGTGAGTGTGAGAAAGAGAGAGAAGGAGAGAGAGTATTTATTATGGTTTTTAGCTTAGGCAATTATGGAGATTGAGAAGTCCTGTAATATGCCATCTGCAAGCTAGAGAACCATGGAAGCTGATCACGTATTTCACTGAATCTGAGTCCGGAGGCCTGAGAAGCAGGAATGTGTGGCGTTGCTGTATATCCCAGAGTCTGGAAGTTGGAGGGCCTGGAGTACTGATGTCTGAGAGTAGAGAACATGGATATTCCAGCCCCAGTAGAGGGAGTGCACTTCCCCTTCTGCTGTGTTTTTGTTTTATTGGGACGCTCAATGGATTTGATTATGTTCCCCACTCTGGTGGGGGGATCCTTCCTCAGTCTATGCGTGCAAACACGAATGCATTCTAGGAACACCATCACAGAGAGTCCAGGAATCATGTCTCACCAGCTCTCCAGCTCTTCAGGGGGCCCGCACCCAAGTTGATACCTGAAGTGAACCATCTCAGGGGCTGACCACCAATGCCTTGCTTGCAGGTGCCTTCCACGGAGCAGGGTTTGAAGGATATAGCTCAGCTGGTTGCCACTTACCCCCAGGGCTTTATGATGTGGATGGGCCCCATGACACCCATCATCACCTTGTGCCACCCTGACGACATCTGGTGTGTCCTCAGTGCCTCAGGTATCGCTGTGGAGCTTGTGGTGGTGGGTGCCATGGTACCTCCCAGCCCCTCCAGTTCCACACCCCATGCCTCTATGCAACCCTGAAGTACCTTCCCTCTCCTCTCAGCTTCTTCCTCTTTCTCTTATGTGTTCTCCAGCCCCCATTTTACTCTCTTCTTTCTCCGTTGCTGTCACCTGCACCTATTGTGAACCTGGAGTTCTGGGCACCCCGAGGGCTCCAGGAGACCTCGAAATAATATGCAAAACATCTCTATGTACATACAAGACGTGATTGAAATATACAGTATTTAAATTTTTAAACTTTATTACATTAAAATTTACATTGTCGTGAATCCCCCTCAAAATACCCGCTTCTACCTTGAACACACAATTCTTGGCACTTTTTGAAGCACAAAGTATACTCCTGGGAGAGGAGTTCCCCAACGAGGTCTGAACAGTGAATCAGAAGATGTAAAGAGGGGCAGGGGATGCAGTGGTCATTGCTAGCGTCTGAGAGCGCGTGCAGGGTTTAGTTTCAGCCTTGCTTATCAAGACCCATGGGTCATGTCTGGGACTCAGCTGAGGCCAAGAACACTTGGGAGCAGGTCCAGTTTGTCTTGTTCTTTCTGACCTGCTCTTTGACAGTATCTTTGTGTCTTGCTGTTCATATCTGGACTATGTTTGAGGCTAGCCTGAGGTTGGAACCCAGGGTCCTTCCTAAAAATGACCAAGATCTTATTTCAGTCTTGTGTAAGTCAGGTCTTAAGGTATATCCAGATCATGTCTGAAGCCCACTTGTGTAATATCAGGGCCACATCTGGGGTAATAATGGGACAATATCTGAATAGTGTATGTGGGGCTCACTGAGGTCTTGTCAGACCAAAATCTCTGATGCTTGTAAGAGCATGTCATACCATGTCATGTTAGGTCATATATACTATGGCTGTACTAGGACATATGCACACATGTATGTCCATGTCTCATGGCCCAGGTCTCTATCAGAATTCAGAGAGTGCCATGGTGGACAGCATGCCCTAGATCAAAGTAACCATCAGTTAAGTGATGCGTGCAAACATGAATGCATTCTAGGAACACCTAGAATGTATTCCATGAATACATTTCATGAAATCCATGAATGCATTCTAGGAACAGTGGAGATCTTTGCTGAATGTTTTGCTACATGCAGGTGTGACAGAATGTGTTGGACTATGTAGGAGCCATGTTAAGGTGTACTCAGCATGTTATCCTGTGATAGGCTGTGTCCCTGCTCTAACCTGCTGCATGATGTGCTTGATCTTTTACCTCTCTCCCACCCTCTGTCCCTGTCTCCCATCCTGCAATGCTGGGCTTGGAGGGCAAACATGCAGACCCCTGGCTGTGACCCTCCACCTCACTCCCAAGTCCACTCCTTATCCCTCTCCATTGCCCCAATGTTCTCTTTGTGTCAGCTGAGGTTGCAGTCAAGGACATCTTTGCCTACAACTTCCTGAAACCATGGCTGGGTGAGTACCTGCAGGTGAAGGGAGTTGGGAACAACATGGGGGTTCAGGGGAAGGTGCTGCCCTTTGCTCACTACCCATGGCTTCCCCACCAGGGGGTGGGCTCTTGCTGATTTCTGGTCACAAGTGGAGCCACCGCCGTCGTGTACTGACACCTGCCTTCCATTTCAACGTCCTGAAGTCCTATGTGAAGGTTTTCAGTGACTGCACAAATGTCATGCACGTGAGTCCTTGAGCCCAGGGTCCCCGCCGGAGCCTGGAGGGTGAAGGGGCCATGGTTCATACCAGCCCTTCCAGGTCCACACCCCATGCCTCTATGCAACTCCTGAAGTACACTGACAGACAGATCAGGCCAACAGTCTGGCTCTGATGGTTACTTTGAGGACATTGCTCTTTCTATCTCAGCCTTGGTTTTCTCTCTGTAAAATGGGGATAAAAATCTTTACTTAAATGATGGTCTGGAGGATGTAATGCACTCACATCCCCAGCACATGGTAGTGCTCAGAAGGCTTAGCTTCCATGCTTCTCTCAGAAGTTCTGTGTGCTGAACACAAGAAAGACGATCACATGAAGCTATTGCTGGGTAACAAACCACTTCTTAACTTATTGTTTTAAAGCAGCAAGGGTCTATAATTCCTAATAAATGTGTAGGTCAGTTGACTGGTTTTCCTCAAGGAAGGCATCACTCATGGCATATATCTACTGTGGGTCTGGTAGGCAGCTCTGCTGATCTGGGCTCAGTTCTCTCCCATGTTTGAGATTTGGCAGACATCAGGTTGATTTGGAATGGCATCAGCTGGGACAACTTCCAGAAAAAATAGAATGGGATATTGGGTAGCAGGAAGTTGTCTATGTGCTCCTCTCTCTTCAGAAGCCATCATATGATTGGTCACATGGCAACAACTTGGGAGTGAGAGGAGGATTAGATTCATTGGAGTTATGACCTCATCACTTACAACACATGGTTCTGGCTAAAGTCAGAAATCTAGCACAGGAATATAGGGAGGAGGATAGGGTCCACCTCTTAATGTAGTTGCTGAAAAATCACAATGCACAGAGTGTAGGTACAGGAAGCAGGGAAGAACTGGACTTCCCTTACAGCATTAATGATGTGGGAAGTCATCATTCATTGAGCACAGGCAATATTCTTTAAATGCTGCCATGGAATAATCCCATAATCCATCCCGTTGAATGTAACTCTCACACCATGTAAAGTAGAGAGGTCTTTCCCCATTAGAGATGGAGAACTGGAAGGTCGGACAGATTTGTAAAATTTATCCAGTTAGTAACTGAGCTAAGATTGATGCAGAGCCAGGTGTGGTGGTGCACGCCTGTAATCCCAGCACTTGGGAGGCTGGAAGATTGCTGTGAGCTCGAGGCCAGCCTGGACTACATACTGAGACCCTGTCTCAAATGGAAAAAGACTGATACAGCAGATACTCTATCCTGATTTATTGAGCACCAAAGCAGGTCAACTTAACAGGAACTGCAGACTTGACAGGTGGTATGCCGGGAAGGCAAGGAGACGACAAAGGCATGTGGAGTGTGGGAGGCACGCCTGAGAGGTAAACTCAGGGCTCCTGAACTCCAGCCTTGAGTCTTCATCTCCTAGTCATGAGTTTCTGTTCTCACATAAGCCTAGTCCTCCTGGGGGCAGACGGCTAGCAGTATGCAGTGAGTCCATCCTGATGGTGAGGGTTTGGCAGGGGTTTAAAGGAACCACGGCTCGGGGCATTCCTGATCTCTTTTCTGTGCAGGCCAAGTGGCAGCGCCTGGCCTCAGAGGGCAGCACCCGTCTGGACATGTTTGAGCACATCAGCCTGATGACCTTGGACAGCCTGCAGAAATGCATATTCTGCATCAAGAGCAACTGTCAAGAGTGAGTCCTTTCCCTGGGCTGGGAACCTGTGCCATGCATATAAGAGAGAAGGTGGGGAGGGAGGACTGACCAGTGGCACCAGAAGAACCTCCCTGGAGGAGGTAAGTCAGACCTGGGCATTGAATGATAAGAGAGCAGAGGGAGAGTGGTCCTTCCCTACTTGTCATTTGAGTAATGACAGAGGAACTCAAACAAGCAAAGTATGTGCAAAGAGGTGCATGGTGCGGGAGGTACCTTGGAGATGAGGTTGGAGAGGTAGGTGGTGGCTAGATATTAGGACACTGAAAGGCCTATTTGATAAGGGTATGTGACCCTCTTAGAAACCATGGAAGTATTTAGAGGTTGTCTTAGTCAGGATTGTGTTACCATGATAAAATGCCTGAAATAGTCCTCATAAGTGGAAGAAAGGCTTGTTTTGGCTTACAGTTTTAGCAGCTTCAGTCAATGGTCCATTGACTCAGTCACTTCTGGCATTTTAAAGCAGTGCATCATGGTAGGACTGTGTATTACAAAAGGGTGTTTACCTTAAAGGAGTTGGGAAGAGACAGAAACAAGAAGTGGTGGGTTCCCAATAGCCCCTGAGAGGTACACCCTCAATTGTCTAACTTTCCTCCAATTTGTCTCACATTCTAGAGACTCCACTAGACCCAAATAGCACCACAGACTGGGGATCAGTCCTTGGGCATATGTTCCTCCTGGGGACACTTCCTAACAATAGCAGAGTTGGTGATGGGTGTAATCAGATTTGAGCTCTGTGGAACAATAACTGACATGCAAATACTAGAGACATGGAATCCAAGAAGGCTATGGAGTTTTTGGCCCATGGGCCAGCTGGAAGAGAATAAGGTGAGATTTGTGGAGAGTTTCAGGAAGGATAAGGAACAGAAGTGGATACTGGACAGTAACAAATGGAGAGGAAGAATGTGTATACTATGTTCTGAGTGCCTAGTAGATAGAGGCATCTCACAGAGATGGGAGGCCCATGAGGAAGAGGCTATGGACAATCACATCACAACTCATCCCCGCCATGGATCTGTGAGGCCATTTGCCTCAGGATTCTCAATTTCCTGACGTGACTTACTCCAAGCTAATGGTGAGAAGTGTTCCTCAGGTTTCAGGTATGTGAAGTTTTTGCCTTCCTTTATGGCCCTCTCTTACAGGAAGCAGAAGGAATATATTTCCACCATCTTGGAGCTCAGTGCCCTTGTGACAAAAAGAATTAATCAGCTCCACCTGCACAATGACTTCCTGTACCGTCGCACCCATGATGGGCAGCGCTTCCAGAAGCTCTGCAGACTGATATATAATTCCACATATACTGCCATCTTGGAGCGGTGTCTCACTGTATTCAGGCTCAAGACCAGAACTCTTAACTTCATTGATGTGCTTTTGCTGAGTGAGGTGGGTTCTCAGGAGGTAGAATGGGTCATGAGGTTAAATGTTAGATCAAATAACTTAGGCTTGATTTTTGGGCATTGGGAATTATGGAAACGATTGGAGGAAGGAGGGACAAGCCAGACAGATTTTATAGATGACTCTTGGAATGCAGGGATTAGGGGACTGTTATATTCAAAACTATGAAGGACCTGAAGGTTTCCACTACTGACAAATTAATAAGTTAGAATGGCACAGTTATATGTATACTATTTACAGTATTCCTATCTATATCTATATCTATGCTGACAGATGTTCCAAGCTCTTGGATCAGGCAGCCCATTTGTTACAGTGATAACAGCAGCCAGAGCAGGACTCCCCTTCCTTGGGTGATGCAATGCTTTTACTTGTATGTGCAGCAGGATTTACAGCCCAGGAAAAAGGGCTGTACATTGAGTCTTGGAGCTTACGTACAACAGCTGGAATATCTGCCTCTTCTCTCAAGGGAGATGGAGAGAATAAGAAAGAGGCAGGGGGAGAGGAGAGGGGAAGAGAACTTCATTCTGGAATATCAACAAGCTCTTTTCAGTGCAGAGGAAAAAGTGTATAGGCCTGCACACCAAATGCCTCTAGGGGAGATAAGTCAAGATTGGATACATTCGCTGAGAATATAAGCAAACGTTTTCAGAATAGTTCTTCATATTTACCTTCCAAGGGAAATTTTCACTTAATCATCTTTTAACTCATATTACCACTAACTTTTTCTCAGAAACCTCTCATAAAAGGAAAACTAAAAATATTAATAGATCATTTCTTTTCCAACCAAGGATCAAAGAGGAGCCAAGGAAGCCAGGGAGGATGTGTGTGGGATAGAACTCTGGCTAAGGACACCGATAGCCAGCTTTTCACTGCTGTGAACAAAAAGCTGAAGGAAACTTTTTTTGTGGTATTGGAAGCTGAAGCCAGGGCCTTTACACTGAGTTACACCCACAGTTTATTTTATACTTTTCATTTTGCAATAAAATCTCACTAAGTTGCTAAGTGTCCCAGGCTGAGCTACAACTTACAATCCTGCCTTATCCTCCCACAGTGCTGGGATGACAAGTGTATGCCACTCTATCTGGCTAGAAAAACAGCTCACCAGAGGAATGATTTATTATGGGTCACAGTTTTTCTGCATGGTCAGCTGGCTCCATTGCTTGGCCTGTGATGAGAAAGAAATATCATGGCACAAGGACATGGTGGAGGAAAACTGCTCATCTATTGGCAGCCAGGGTAGAGATAAAAGCCAGAGATGAAGGCGCTGGCGACCAGATATAGTCCCCAAGTTCACACACCCATTACGTACCCTCCTGAAGTAGATCTTACCTTCCATTTCCATAACCTCCTAGTCATATCATTAAGCTATGAATGGATTAATCCACAAATGAAGTTAAACACGAGAGTTGTTGGAGACTGTTTTAGATTAAGGCAGAATAGTTACTAAGGGAAATCTAGTGGTGTGAGAGGACTTGGGTTTCTATACAGGTTTCTCAGAAGCCCTGAAAGCCGGTGTGATTCAGGCGTTCTTGCCTTCTCTCCAGGATGAAGATGGAAAGGACTTGTCACTTGAGGACATGGGGGCAGAGGTTGCCACTTTCATGTTTGAGGGTGAGGGTTCCAGTGTGGGTCTGTAGATTGAACATGGCTCTCTCTCTCTATCCCAGGGGCATAGTGGGTCCTTCCCGGGTCTCTCCATTTTTCCTGCTCTCCCCATTTCTCATTCCTCCCTGGGGGGGTCTCAGGGGAGGGCGCTGTCCACCCTGTGGTGCTGAAGCAGCTCAGAGACCCAAGGCTGCCCTGCTGTTGCTCAGGCCATGACACCACGGCCAGTGGCCTCTCCTGGGCCCTGTACAACCTGGCGAGGCACCCAGAGTACCAGGAGCGCTGCCGGCAGGAGGTGCGAGAGCTCCTGAGGGGCCGTGAGCCTGAAGAGATTGAATGGTGAGTCTGGTCCTCATGGCCTGTTCCTGAGCCCCTCTCATGGCTCTAGCTCTCCTGCAGGGGGAGAGGAACTATGATTATAATTGCTTGGTGAGTATAAGAGCTGAGTTCAGAGGCAGGCCTCGTGCCAGGGACTTGTCACTTGAGGACATGGGGGCAGAGGTTGCCACTTTTATGTCTGAGGGTGAGGGTTCCAGTGTGGGTCTGTAGATTGAGCATGGGTCTCTCTCTGTCCCAGGGGCATGGACCACTGGGTCATCTACCTGTTGTCCTGAACAGCTGTGTCATTCACCTTTCCAACCCCATTCTCCAAACATTTTCTCTGCCTGCCCATTGCCATTCTGTGTCCAGCCCCATCTTGTACTATGCAGCCTTGGGAAGGATCCAGCTCAGGGTTCTGTCTTTCAAGAGCTCCTGGCGGGGGGAGGGCAGGAGCAGAGGCATGTCTTAGTTCAGGACATTCTTGGAACAATTTCTAGTGCTTTTGCTTCTCTAATTCTCAAATATTTCGTTCATTACAGCTTATATGATTCTAGGAAGAAAAGATTCACCAGGGGAACACAGGAGCTGGTGGCCTGTGTTTTTCCCCTGGGTAGTTGTGGGTTGTGGTTTCCTCAGGGACGACCTGACCCAGCTGCCCTTCCTGACCATGTGCCTCAAGGAGAGTCTGAGGCTGCACCCCCCAATCACCAGCATCTCCCGCTGCTGCACCCAGGACATTGTGCTCCCCGACGGCCGCGTCATCCCCAAAGGTGCCACCAGGGGTGGTTCCTGGGCAAGAATCAGGGTCCATCGGGCGTGGGTCCTTGTCCTGACGGTCCCCTCCTCTCCACAGGTGTTATCTGCCTCATCAGTATTTTTGGGCTCCATCACAACCCCGCTGTGTGGCCGGACCCCGAGGTGCTGCTTTCCCATCCTGTACAGGGGTTGTAGAGAAGGGGATATAGTGCTGACCTGGGAAATCAGACATCACCCGCCCCTGCCACAGGCGCGTCTGTCTCTCCCTGGCTGTGCTGGGAGACCCCACACAGCAGCTGCGGCTTGGTCTCTCTCCAGGTCTATGACCCCTTCCGCTTTGACCCAGAAAACATCAAGGACAGGTCACCTCTGGCCTTTATTCCTTTCTCCGCGGGGCCCAGGTGGGTGCAGCGGGTGTCTGAGCTGGGGATGGGCTGATGGGGGCGGGGTCATGGCAGGACAGGGGGGAAATCCGGGTGGGCTTCTCGCTGCCCCTGCGCAGCTTGTGCGCAAAGCTGTGAAGAACAGAGGTTGGGTAGGTGCAACGGGTCCCTCGATGGGCTCAGAACCTGCTCCCTGCCTACCTGTGCGGTTCAGGCCCTGGCGTCTCACCCTGGTTCGGAGACACACACGCCCAATTGGGGTCCAGGCACGATTAGCCCCCTCCCTGTCCCTGGAGTTGACCAGGGTGGGGTAGGGTCCCGGGCCAGGTTCAGAACGACGGGGCTGGAGGATCCCGGGCGCTGTCACGGTTCCTCCCCTCCCCGCCCGCAGGAACTGCATCGGGCAGACCTTCGCCATGGCCGAGATGAAGGTGGTGCTGGCACTGACTCTGCTGCGCTTCCGCGTCCTGCCCGACGACGCCGAGCCGCGCCGGAAGCCGGAGCTGATCCTGCGCGCGGAGGGCGGGCTGTGGCTGAGGCTGGAGCCGCTGAGCGCGAGAGCGCGCGGCGTCCCGTGGCCTGGGACCCAGCTGACCCCACTCACCTTTGCGGTCTCTGAGGAATAAACTGCGCTGTCACTTGCGTCTGAGTCTCAGGGAGAGCCGGAGGGGCCCTGAGGACCATGGATGGGTGTGGGGTGGGAAGGAGGGGTACTGATGTCTCTGAGCCTATGGCCCTGGCTGCTTCTGGCTGAACCCAGTCCCCGATGATGCCGGTGGGAGAGAATTTTGAGGAAGGACCAGGATCAAGGGCAAGTGTGAAGCTCTTAATCCAGGAGAGAACTAACTTTTCTCTTTTCTTTCTTGTCCTTCTTTCTTCCTTCCTTTCTCTCTTTCTTTTTTTGTTTTAAAAATTTTTATTAATACATATTTGATGAAAAGAAAGAAGGGGAAATTATGTATGTATGTATATACACGATAGCTAACATAGTTGTACTACTGACTTCTATCACTTTACTGAAAGGAACAGTTAATGATTACTTATTTGATCAGTCTTGCATGTCTCTACTCGTTTTCCTGAGAAACCACTTTGAAGATATCATTACGTAATACAACAACCGTTGTTAATGTCCTACCACTTTGTAATTCTGTATTGCTGGTATTTTTCTTATGCTATTTTGTAAATAGATGTCTGTTTGTTAATATATTTTCCTTCTTTTATTTTTAAAATAAATTTTAAAAATAAATGTTTGAGGTATTTAATGTTTACTTTCATCATTGGGAGTTGGTACACAACATACAGACCACATCTTAATTATTTTTTGTCCCTACCACTCTCTTCCTCCCCCGCTCCATGGAGCTCTTAGTTGTATTATAGGGAGCTAAGTAAGATGGAAATTAGTGTACAGTCAGAGAGGAACTGGGCTCTTGAGTCAACACAAAAATTAAGACATCAAAATTGTGGCTGGTGGCTCATCTGAAAGGCCAGGCCTCAAGCTAAAGGTAAAGATGCAATGGCCAGGCTACATGCTTCCCTAAGGAATAAACAATAACTTAAGATTATATTGTATTAGCACCACTTGGTCCAGTAAGGCCAGGTAGGCATCAGTCTCCCAGGTGGGTGATGAGAGCATCTGGACCCATTTGTTCTTAAAAATGCGTTTGTTCTCTCCATGTACCTTTGCTACCTGACTCATTTACCCATTTGATCAGTATTAGTTAAGTAGCTATACTTGTAATCTGGTAGGCTGATGGTAGTTTGACTCACACTGTACTCATGTTGTGGCTTTGTATTTTAAATTACTCCTGACAAAGGGCCTCGGTGGCCGTCCCATTCAGGACCCCTTCTGGAAAGCCAGGAGCTCTTCTTCTCTACTTATTTCCAGTAAAACTCTCCTTTGGTTCATGACATTATTCCCCAGTATCCTTATAGCCCTGGCTATCCCAATGATATTGGAGAAATAGAACTCCCAACCTGCTAGATGTCAGGTGTGCTGAGTTCATGTCTCCTGAAATTGAAGAATGAAATCCAAAGGAGGTTAAAGAGCAGGAAAGTTTTGTTGGAGAATAAGAATAACTCCTGAGAAGCAGGAGGGGTCCTGGAAGTGGGTTGTTACCAAGGGCATTTCTCTGAGAATTTTTATAGGGCAAAATCATGAGGTGGGTACAATGTGGGTCAAACTATAATCAACCAATAAGATTAAAAGTATAGCTGCTTAGCTAATATTGACCCAGTAGGGAAGTGGGGCATGTAGGAAGTGCATATGGATGACAGCATTAACCTTGGCTTATCAATGATTTCTAAAACAGGGAACATTCTGGGGAAGGGATGGGCCCAGGTGTCCTGGTCACCCCCTACTCCAGTTGTCTAATGCATATCTGGACTTAACAGACTGAGTCTTACCAATCACAGATAATCTCAAATTTCCATTCATCCCTTACAGATCTATGTAAATATGGCCATTGTGATTTTAATTTCAAGGGCTTGCCTCCTTCAGATGCACCTCCAGCCACAATTCTGATGTCTTCACCTCTGCCTGACTTCCTGAGAGCCCAGTCCATTTCTGGCTGTATATTAATTTTATCCAAACTAACTGCCTACAATATAATGTATATCTTCCTATCCAACTTGGCAGCAACCTTGTTCATAGGTTTGTGCCACAGAGCCACTGGGCACCATTTGTGGGTGGCCAACCTTTTCCAGCTCTTGCCTTTAAGTCAGTAACAAAGAACTTAGTATTATTAACACAATAGTATGATTTCTTTGTGTAGGAATCCATTCCATATTTTGGGTGACATTTTATCACAAATATGGTTTTCCTGTTTCCAACAAAGGGGAGCTATTTGGCTGAGTTGTCCCATAGTAGAGGTCAGATATGTTCATCCTAAACCTAAAAAATTTATCTGTGAATTGGTAGTTATCTTTTATCATGGAAGTTTTAGGAGTCAAGTGGAGGTAAGAATTTCTATATTGTCATATCTGAGTACTAAATTTGACTAGAGAAAAATTTTTCCTATGGCCCTTTAGAAGCTCATTTATTGGCTGTTGAAAGATGTTAGATCTGGTAACAAGCTTTAAAATCATCATTGCATTTTACTGTTCTTCTATAAAATTTTGAAGTGTTTCCAATCATTTCTCTGTAGAGGAGATATCCACTATGGTAGCCCAGGTGCACTAAAAGTAGGCAATTGTTCACAAATCCAGCATGTATCTTTGTTAATGTTTTTGGTATATTGCTAGGCCCAGTCAAGGAAAACATAAGTTCCTCCATTGGAGAATAGTATAAGTGTTAAAAAAAACAAAAAAGAATCATCTGACTTTGCTTTTAGTAGATATAGTAGAGTTGTGAGAGGAGATATATTTAAGCAAAATAAACATCAAATTTTTCCTAAATTGGCCTTCTTATTCTTCTTGAATATGACCTGCAAGTCCTCCAAAGACTCAGAACAGTATTGATTACAGGTCTCTGTCTCTTTGACTTCTTGATCTTCTAAAGTCTCAAATGGAATAGGCTTAATTTTTAATAAGTGATTCCATGATGTATATTTTGGCAGCTTCATTGCTGTGAGTGTGCTCAAAAGAACTTGTTAGGGTCCCTTCCGTTTAAGGAAGGGCTCATCTAAAGGTGACTCTTTCTTCACTGAGTTGAATTTTAGGGACATGAATTACAGAGTCTGGTGCTGTAAGGACTTTAATACCATGTTTAGTAAAGACTCTGTACATGACCTAGACTAATTATGTATATAATCATTTCCTATGTTTTAGGGTTAATGACTAGGTCTGAAGTCATAAATGGCCTCAAATAGAGCATTTTATAAGGCTTAGTTGCAGAGAAGCTTTAGGGGAAATTCTAATCTTTAGTAAAGCAATAGGTAATAGTTTTAGTGAAGACACTAAGGTTTCTTGGAATAATTTTGCAACGGTGGTATTAATAAGTAAACTGGCCTTTGCAGCCTTTCCTGATGCTGAGAATGACAAGTAGTGTGGCGATAATAAGTTAAACTCTTGCATCACTTTGGAGACAATGGAAGATCCTTTATCACTCTGAAGTGTCTTAGGAGGTCCAAACCCAAGAATGATGTTTTTTAACAGCTTTAGTGACTTGGGTCTTTTCAATCCAGGTGGGATATGCCTTCTATCTACTCAGAAAATTTCAGCAAAAACTAAGAGGCATTTCTGTCTTTGGCACAGGGGCATCTGGGTAAAGTTTAGTTGCCAATCTTTTCCAGGACGGTACCTTGCCTTTGTACTGGATTAAGCAAAGGTAGAAGTTTAACCTTTCCTCCTGGAGTGTTGTAGAGGCAAAGGGAGCAAACCCTTGTGACTTCTTGAATAGTGGATTCAAGGCTTTTCTCCCTAAAAGCATGATTGATCAAGGTTGTATGCTTCTCTCCCTAGATGGTGTAAATCATTGATTCCTTTAATGATTTTCCATCCATCATCCTGAGGTAATAAAACTTTGTGATCTTCCTTTTTCATACACCAGCCCTCCTTTTCTGGCTTCTACCTATTTCATTATAATCTCTGAATTGTAAGGGTTTATACTTGAGCTTGGAGTCAGAGATATAAAGCCATCTGTGAAGCATCTTTTAGCACCATTCATTTGGCACTGTGATCTGTGTTGGATTATACGGTAACTGTCCTTTTAATGTCCTCTGCAGTGTATTACTCCTGCCTGGTCAGTAGATGCACTGCTTCTAAGAGGGAAAAAATCTCAGGTCATTCTTAATTGAAGAATTTTTTCCTGTTACATGTCTCCTTTCACTCCATATGGCCACATGACCATGAAGACCTGAGAGAGCATATCTGCAGTCAGGATAAATGTTTTCTCACTTGTTTTCTCCCCATTGTAAATCTCAAGTAAGGACAACAATTACAGCCTTTTGTGCTGAGGTATTTGAAGGAAACAGGGCTGCTTCCATCACCTGCTAACAACTGCATAACCTCTGCTCTGAATCCCATTATTTATACAACAATTGAATAACCTGTTCTCTAAATCCCATTATTTAGGTAAAACCCTTGAACCAGTCTCCATCAGGATTGTCTAAGGTCTGCTCTTTAAAATCAGGCCTGCTAGAGAAAACTTGTTCTACAGTTTTCACAAAGGAGGGTGGACTGTCTCCTTCTCCTGGGGTAGGAAGCAGGGTTGTTGGTTTTAAAGTGTGGCACACTTTGAGAGTAATCTCTGTAGGTTCTAACAGGAGAGCTTCACATTTAGATAGCTATCCTCCATTTAGCCACTTTGATTCTGATGGGGGTGGTTTGGGCTGCTAGTTAGTGCCCTAGAGTTAATTTAGTGGCTTCATAAACCAAGAGTGCTATAGCAGGCACAGCCCATAGGCATCCAGGTCATGCACATGACACAGAGCTTAACTCTTTAGCAAAGAAAACCACAGGCCAAGAAATGTCGCCCAGCCTTTGAGTAAGGACCCTCAGGGCTATGCCTTTCTTTTGGTGACAGATATGGTAAATGGCTTATCTAAGTTAGGAATTTCTAAAGTTGGAGCAGACAGTAACAGTTCTTCAAGCTTTGCAAAAGCCTCTGTCTCTCTTTTCAAAAGCCTCTCTGTCTCTATCTAGGGGCTCACAGTCAGGCCCTTGCGTGACTCCATAAAGAGGCTTAGCC